CTCCACTGAGAGGGGTGTCTTTGGAGCCCACAATAAGGCTGGCAGGCCTGGAAAGTGAGGCTGAAATTAGGTTTGTTCATGAAGCGTTTTGATTTCTTAAACAGTCAAAGGATGTATATATAAAGCCCTGGATGGGAGACTCAGGCATGACAGAATTGCCTATTCCCCAGGCCAAACACAGGAAAACTTCAGTGTTGTGTGCAGTGGGGAGGAAAAGGCAGAATGGAAAGTTGCAAGTCTACCTGAAGATTAAAGGAAACTTAAATCACTCATGTGAGTGACCAAAAAGGTGGAAATTTAAAAGCAAGAGAATTGGGGAGGGAGGACAGAAAAGGCCTCAGGAATTCAGACAGAATCCATCTGATTCGATCTTTCTCTGCATTGGGTTATCTTATTTCACTTTTTCTTCTCAATTATGAAATTATTCTAATATACATTATGTGAAATAGGCGGATACCCATGTGCCTGTGCCCACCACTCAGATTTAACAGAAGTAAATGCTTTGTTACTTGTCTCCCTTTATGAGAAAGGACAAGAAGTGTAAGACACACAACTAGAGTCTCTTCTCTCCCTCCTGTCCTTTCCATCTTGCTTTCTCCCAAGAACTAGGCACCACCCAGGAACCACGGGTATTACCCCTTTACACAGTTGTATGTGTTTTCTGTAGCTGTTTCCATGACTACACAGTCAATGGTCTGGTATGGTTTCAGTTTCATAAGAACAACATCACCTTATCCTGGTCTTGTCTCTCAAAGAAGATCAGACCACTTTCCAGTTTTTTTTTAAAAACTGGGTTAAAATACATCTAACAGGAATATCACCTTCGTAACCATTTTAGTGCACAGTTCAGTGGCATTAAGAACGTTCACACTGCAGTGATGCATCTGCCACCATACCCAGAACTTCTTCATCTTCCCCAGCTGGGGAAGTTTCCCCAGTAAACATTAACTCCCTTCTTCAGTCTCCCCTCAGTCCCTGGCAATCAGCATTCTTTTTATCTCTGTAAACTGACCACCCTAGGGATCTCACTTGTCTTTTGTGACTGGCTTACTTTACAAGACACAGTGTGTTCAGGTCTATTAATATTGTGTGCCATGTTTTCTCTCTTTCTTAAGGCTGAATAATATTCCAGACAATTAATTTCATCAGATGCGAGGCTGGCCCAACAATTCCCAGTTCCATCCAACCCCTGTATCTCCCTCTCCACCAGCCATCCTTCCATGCATGAAGGCCTCCATGGACGGGGCACCCACTGCCTAAAGTGAATCTGTTGGAAGCAGTTTTGTGTAGCAAAGCAAGCCTTAGCTCCAACCAGAAGGAAGATAGTAAGCTAACTGACCCTGTGTGTCAGCATAGAAACCATGCATGGGAGGTAAGGGATGATATTGTTTAGAAAAGCATATACATGTCCTTCACCTTATTCAGCCCCGACATCTGTCAGCTACAGCCTCCAAGAGCACCACCACACCTAGACGACCTGAAGAAGACAGCATTTCCTGTGTTCAGAACAGCCCCATCCCTCTGCCACACCTGCCCTGTGTTTGGGTTCTGCCATGAACTGAGGGAAGAAAATGAGAATGAACATCGATTAGAAAAAGACCTGCCAGGAAGAAGGGAGAGACTGAAGCAGCCTAGTAATGAGCCTGACCCACTTGTTGAATACAGATCACATGTTAGTCCCTGATTCTCCACACTGGCACAGTGAGGAAAGCAGAGTGTTCTATCAGAGATGCTTGGGAGCAGAGGTGTTTCAAAACTTTTTTTAATGTTTGTACATATAAAATGAGATTTCTTGGGAAAGGGACCCAAGCCAAACATGAAATTCGTGTTTCATACGTACTTTATATGCACATCTTGATGGGTTTTTTTTTATGAGTGTATTGCCTGCACGTATATAAATGTACCTGTGTCATGTAGTGCCCACAGAGGTCAGAGGAGGGCTACAGATCCCCTGGAACTAGAGTTATGAATGATTGTTAGACACCATGTTGGTACTGAGAACTGAACCTGGGTCCTCTTCAAAAGCAGCCAGTGCTCTTATCCACTGAGTCATCTCTCCAGCCCTTGAGAGTGATTTATACCATGATTGCATCATAGTGTGAAATTTCCACTTATGGTATCATGTCAATATAAAAAAGCTTTGAACTTTGGAGCCTTTGGGGTGTCAGATCTCTGGATTAGGAGTGCTCAACCTGTGTGGGTATCCCTACACTGTATCAGTTCCCAGCTTTCAGAGAAAGGCCGAGATTCCAAAGGATGAAATGTGGGCCCTGGCAGACCGTCACCTTCATCTCCCTCTTCCCTCTCCATCTCCTTCCTTCCGGGAGGAAGAAAGGACGAGGAAAGCTGGAAAGAACGTGCTGAGGCAACACTATGCTCCAGTTAAGAGATGAACTGTGTGCACGGAAGCTTCTAGATTTGAGGAGACTGGATGTGGCATCTGCTTGGGACAAAGAGAAAGTGGGTGATACTAGCCCTGACCTAGGGGGTGCTTCGCCCATCCCAGGCATTCCAGGATGGTCCCAATTCATACATATGCATGTATCTAAACTAGTCGGTCTTTGTTCACCATACTTGATTAGAAAATACTATCATTTCAGGGCTGGTGGATGGCAAGGGCTTGCCTAGCACGCTCAAGCCCCTGGCTTCCATCCTCTGCATGACAAAAATGAAAACAACAAACTGTAATTTCAGAGATAGGCAAACCCTAGGAAGGGTAACAAGGCAGATGCTTGAAGCAATTCTCAATGAACTAAAGAGCGTACTTTTGATTGGAGAACCCTTGTCTGCCCTGGCACAATTTTGTTAAAGAAAGGAATCCTTCATAACCCATAAAGGATTGAAATTGTCACCAGTACAACTCAGAGTTGCCCTGGAAACTTTGTCCAAGTCTGAATACAATTCCATGTCCCTCTTCTTTTCCTTTTTGACCACCAGGGCCATGAGGAGAATCAAAGGGCCCTACTGTTAATCAACCATTCTCTGAAGGTCTTAGAGGCTGGGCTCTGACCATCTTTCAAACTTACAGCTTTCTTCCAAATACCAAGGTGGAAGACCACTTTCAAAGCAGAAGGTCTAGGGAGTTTATGTGGCTGGGGACCCACCTTGCAGAGCTGGCATGTAGCAGAGGCACCCACAACAAATCCACTGAGAGCTTAAAATGCAAGGTGCCCTTCACCTGGGAGGCTCCCGTCAGTCATTGCTAAAACCACAATCATCTCTCCGATCTTTTCTTCATTTGACTAAGCAGCATCCTCCAACACAGATAATCAGCTGTTGAAAGAAAAACACTGAGCAAATTAACTTTAACAGAGTTTATTTGAGCAAAGAATGATTTGTGAATCAGGTAAGGTTCAGAACTCAACAACTGCAGCCACACAAGCAGTAGGCAGGTGACCGTGGAAGGCACATAGAGAAATCACTGAATCTGCTCCAGAAAGGAAAACCTCTCTGGGCGTGGGCTGCTAGGTTGACTGCCTACAAATGACTGAATGAGACTTGGGCTATTTGCTACAAAACAACCGCCCAAGCGGTCCTTACTAGATTCCAGCTTATTACTTAGCACAGAGGCAGCCACAGGACGCTTATTTAATTTAGCAATCTCTTCAATAGTAAGTAATCTTTAGTAATCTTTCATGTGTTTCTGGGACATAGGCTCCTGGGTCTCTCCCAAGGTACTGGCCTCTCCTTTTCATGTCCTTTGCTGATTCTTCTTCTAGTCCCCAACCTCTGAACATTAGAGTGTCCAAGAGTCAACTCTCAGATATGTCCCTTTAAAGGTCTCAGAGTGTATGACCATCCTAGCTTCCAACTCTATGTCCCTACCTAAATCTTCCCCAACATATCCCAGTCTGATAGACCCAACTATACCCAGGCCCCCTCTTAGACTCTTTGTAACTGCCTCCCTAACCTGAGCCATCACTCCCACTTCTTGTCCCCATGGCAGCGCACTGCCTCTTTGCTGTCTCATTAGAATACCAAGCACACCAGCCCCAGGGTTCTTACACATGGCCACTCTCAGAAGAACAAGCTGAAAACGTGAGACAGACTCATACAATGAACATGAATGGGCTCCGATTTCACACCAAAGTATGGATAAATCTGGAAATGCTGAGCAGGAGTGTTAACGCCACGAATCTATTTATATAAAGTATAAGAAGGAAAAGGCACACAAAGACAAACAAATATAGGCATTTAAGATTGGAAGGTACTTCCCCTTGGGCTAGAAGGAGACATTTCAGACATTTCTACGACAGGCAGTGCTATCCTTGCTGACCTAGTATGGGTCACACCAATGTGATCAGCTTATGAAGTCATCAAGTTCTACACTGGTGAGAAATTCATGCTTACATGCCAATAAAGAGTGTTACAGCACGAAATAAGGTGCCGTGGTGGGCCTTTTGGCTTTTGCTGGTTTGTGTCTTACTGAGTTCCCTTATATAATTAAACCATCTAACATCTGGGCTATTGACCCATTAAAGATAGCAAGAGTTATCTCCTGGTGGGCCAGAATCTATGCCAGGTTCCCAATAGGCAGGATCTTATTTTGTTCCCACAACCCATCTGCAAAATAAGATGATTATTGTACAGAGGAAGAATGTAGGGCTCAGAGACGGAAGAAGCCCTCCTAAAACAGTGCTCTTTCCGGGGTTTCATGTCACGCCTCCGTGTGGTTCTTTCAGCAACCGGTTCTGTTCTGTTGACCAGTTTTCCTAGTCTTCTCATACCAAATCAGGATGGAAAAGCCAGATGGCTCACTGCCCACCTGGGTCTGAAATATCTGCAGAACCCGATGCAGAAGGGAAGGCAGCACATGTGTGCTGACAATCCCAGTAACCGATCCCCGAGGCTCAGCCCAAACTGCAAAGAAAACTAAAAGCCAGCAAGCCAGCAGAGCTTTAAAAGTCCTGGCAAGAACTCTGAAATCAGACCCGGCCAGCATGTGTCCCTGAATATCAGAATAGACGCTATATTTACCCTGAAAAGCCCTTTAGTGCATCTGAGAGTTATAAATAACCATTAGGGCCTGAGCAAGTGGCCTTAACACATGGGTTTTCTTCCAAAAATGCAGGCCCATTTTAATTAAATTAACCTTAGGGGAGGGCAGGCCCCCTGGACTCCTGCACTTTGGCGACACCGTGAGTAATTTGCTCTCTTGAGATTTGGGGATACTCAGGCTCTTGTTCAGCTGGGAGGCACCTCCTGGGAGCTTGCACAGAGGCTGGGAAGGAGTGAATCCTGCAGCCTCTGACCACCCTTGCCCTGAACGTTGCATCATGGTGTCTGCAAAGCTAACCCTTTGTCAACCTCTCGTTCCCCCCAGAGCAAGATGGGGATCATGGCTGTCCTGATGTTACCCCTACTGCTACTGGGTATCAGCGGCCTCCTCTTCATCTATCAGGAGGTATCCAGGCTGTGGTCAAAATCTGCTGTGCAGAACAAAGTGGTGGTCATCACTGATGCCATCTCAGGACTGGGCAAGGGTAAGCTGGCTTCCCCTGGACGTGTGTCCATCTCTGCTTCAAGGAAGGCGGGATGGTACCATGCACACCTGCCAGGTAGGAAGGGTAGAGTAGACCCTGTTCTCCCTCCCTGCATCTGTCTCTATCAGGCATAGCTCTTCTTTATGCAAGGTTGCAGCTTTCTTGCCAAATGAATGGCAGGTTTGGAATGCCTGGGGTTGCAAACTGACAGCTTGGCATTGGAAAGTGATTAGTTTTGATTTTGTTCTGGGGTTTCCAGAAATCTTGAAACACCAAGCCCTTAGACGGGGCTGTGTGCTGGTTCTGAGACCAGACTAGGGCGCTGGCTTCAGGTCCTGGCTCCGGCACTTACTTACTGGTTGACTTCATCTATATGACTTCTTATCCGTAAAGCTAGGGTGACAGTAATCTCTATTTCAGAACATGGTTGTGAGAAAGAAATGAATTCACACATGGATAGCACTTGGAACAGCACTTGCAGCTACAGTGGGTGCTGCTCAAGTGTTGCTAGTGATGGTTATGTCAAGGAAATTTACACAGAGCACACCCACTTCCAGGTGCTAGGCTCCCTGCCACACCCCAGGGAGATACACCTGGCTGCTACTTCTCAGCACCTCACCTTCTAGGGTTAAAGGTGTTTTCGTCCACATCCTCGTGAGTTAGACACTCCTGTGGGCCCTTCTGCTGGTGGCATCTGTGACATGAATGTCTTTTGATTTTGCAGAATTCTATCATTCCAAATGATGGCGGTATAACCCTATCTGGTATGTAAATGGCAATCTCTGCTGCGTTGTTGTTTAATCAAGCATAGAACCCACAAAGCCAACCATCCATTAGCCACTCAACAAGTGGCAATAGGTCCACTCTTACCCTAGCACTGCCCTTTCCAGCGTCGCTCTAGGGGACTGGATTTCCCATGGTGCCACCATCAGAAGAAATTTTGTGACCTCCTCTCTCAGATTTCTCCCACAACCTGCTGCTCATTCTGTTGAATGTCCCCAAAGGGAGCCAATCTCCCTGCTGTGAGGCTGGGTAAGGTCTAGTAAGTGCTCGCCTTGGGTAAGCCACTGGCAGGTGAAAACACCAAGCCTGTCAGATGGATGTAGCCCCTCAATGGCTCCCAGAAGCAATTCCCAGAGAGGACATCCTGCCTTTGTACAGGAGGTGGGGGGGACCCACAAAGCAAAAATTCAAGCTTCTCCAGGGCCAGCCAGGCGCACTCGAGTTTGCTCATCAAACCAGACACAAGACCACTGTGTGGCTGGGGAAACGAGAAGAGCCAAGCACATCAAGCCGTTGAGACAAAGGCTGTGGGAAAAATCTTTCTCCAAATAGTGTGTGTTTGTCTAAGATTCAGCCAGATTCCCGATACAGTCTCCACTCTGGAGCCTTCCCTGCCACCTGCCCCTTCCTTTCAGGTGGCCCCAAGTTCTGCCTTCTTACAACCTGGGGTTCTTTTGCGCAGGTGCACCATCATCAAACAGCTTCCCACACAGTACTTTCTCTGTGTTTCTCTGGTATTCCACCACTTTCTGATGGCGAAACCTTCATCCTGGTGTCCTGGCACCTACCTCAATGACTATCACCTAGTAAATACTCCAGAAAGAAATGTTTTAATCCAAAATGTCTCACACAGTCTCATGTTTTGAGTGCTATTTTGAAAGCTGTGGAGCATTTAGGTCTAGGAGGTGGGATCTGTCTGACAGAAGCAGGTCAGGAAGGCAACTTTTGAAGGTTATGCCCTCTCAGCTCTCCACCCTCCCACACATAAGCTGCCACCTTCCCCTTGAAATCCCATGGACTCACCTGCTGCACACAGCCTTTCTGGCTATAGTGAATCCTCTCAGACCTAGACCAGAATAAACTTTTACTCCCTTTAGTTGCTTCCGTCAGGCAGTTGATCACAATGATGAGAAAAGTAACTCGTTCATTTAATGAGCAACTTCTGAAAGTGGCCATGTGATCAAGGACGTCAATCAGATGAGTGTTGAATATATGTTGTATGGATTTCCATGTTAGTTCCATGTAGGTCAGAGAATGTATTCCACATCATTCAGTTCTTTTTAATTTGTTGAAGAACTCAAAAGAACTCCCAACCTACCTCATGGCCTACCTCTGGGCAAGTGGACTTATGTTGTATAAGAAAGCAGGCTGAGCAGGGGCCAGAGGAGCAAGCCAGTAAGCAGCGTTCCTCCATGGCCTGTGCTCCAGCTCCTGCCTCCAGGTTCCTGCCCTGAGGTCCTACCTTGGGCTCCCTGATGAACTGTGACCTGGGAGATGTAGGCCAAATAAACCCTTTCCTCCCCAAGTTGGTACTGGTCAGAGTGTTTTGTCACAGCAATGCCCTGATGAACTGTGACCCGGGAGATGTAGGCCAAATAAACCCTTTCCTCCCCAAGTTGGTATTGGTCAGAGTGTTTTGTTATAGCAATGGAGAAACAAACTAGAGCAGGTGCCTTCTTTCTAGGATAGAGGTGATGGGAAGGAAGCATATTCCAGCCTTTGGCCATGAATGGAAACACATGCAGTTCTTTCCAGAGATGTGCCCCTCCCAAGCCCCTCTGCTCCTCCTTGATGCATTTGTGTCCTATTTTAGGGCAAAGGGAACTGAACTTGATAACAGTTATTATGCATCTTGTACCAGCACCTAACTTTGAAATTTTATGTCTATTTGATCTTGGTGTCTCTGTTAAACTTCTAGTTTAATACCTGTTACAAATAAATATGTATAATTTACCATATTTTCCACATAAACACTCACATTTAAGTTTTAGCACTGTATTTGACATACTATTTTTAAGTTTTGGCGCTGTAATTGACACTATTTTTGCAGCTTTTTTTTTAAAAAGAAAAATGTTTTTTACTGGACTTGCTGGTGCATAACTTTAATCCCAGCATGCAGGAGGCAGAAGCAGGTGGATCTCTATGAGTTCAAGTCCATTCTGGTCTACATAGTGAGTTCCGGGCCATCTGGGGCTATAGGAAGACCCTGTCTCAAGAAGATCAAAAAAAAGTTTTTATTTTTAAAATTTTTTAATTTTGCATGTATGAGTGTTTTTGCCTGCATGTATGTAAGTGCACCTGTATTGTGAGCCCTTGGAGATCAGAAAAGGGTGTCTGATCCCCTGGAACCAGAGTTATGGACTGTTGTTAGCCACCATGTGGGTGCTAGGAATAGAATCTGGGTCCTCTGCAAGAGCAGCCAGTGCTCTTAACCACTGAGCTGTCTCTCCATTTCCTTAATTTTGATTTATGTATATATGTATAGTACCCTTGGAGGGCAGAAGAGGACATCCAATTTCCTGGAGCTGGAGTTACAGGAAGTTGTAAGCTACCCAACATGGGTGCTGGGAACCAAACTCTGGAAGAGCAGGAAGTACTCTTAACCACTGAACCATCTCTCCAGCCTCGAAGCTTTTTAAAAACACTTTATCATGAATTTCCGTTCATGTCAACACATTAATTTCTGAAAAAATATTTGAGGATTTGAAAACATTCTATGTCTAGATGTGCTGTGCTTGACTTAACCAATCTCCTACTATATTGGACACTTGCAATTATTTCTAACTCTTTACTGTTGCCAGAGGTGCTAAGATAAGCACTCTTGACTATGTGCATGCAGACATTCTTAATGACCTCCTTAGAAGAAATACCCATAAGTGAAATTGTTTAGTCGAAGTCCTCATTTGCCTTCAAGGATACAGTAAGTTTTTCTTCTAAACGATTGTGGTGATTTATACTGCTACCAGAGTGAACATGAGGATCCTGCTGCTCATTATCTTGCCAAAACTATTATCAGTTTTGTCCTTGGTTTATAGATCAAAACTAATGCCTTGTTTAAATTTTCATCTCTTTACCATGGGTATTGACTCTTAACACATTAACTCAGTATTTTTTTTTATCTTTTTGAGACAGGGTTTCCCTGTAGCCCCAGCTGGCCTGGAACTCATTTTGTAGACCAGAATGGCCTCAAACTCACAGAGATCCGCCTGCCTCTGCCTCCCGAGGGCTAGGATTATAAGCATGCACCACCACGCCCCACTCAACTCAGTATTTTTTTAATGAATTTTTTTCTCCTTAGTTGATTCCTTTTTAAATTACATGTACTCAATTACATGTATGCTTGTACCACAGCACACACAGAGGACATCTCTGGGAGTTGGTTTTCTTCTTCTACCATAGGGGACCCAGGAGTTGAGCTCAAGTGGTCAAGCATGGTGGCATGTCCTTTACCTGCTGAGCCGTCTCACCACCTCACCAAATCTTACTCACCAATTTCTTTGAGAGCCTTCATTGTCCATTCTTATTTGGAAAAGCTCTCTGTATATCAAATAAATTAGCCCTTTACTGGCATATAGGTTATAAATACTTTTCTTGGTTTGGCCTGTTCTTTATCTGTGTCTCTGCAGTAAGGTGTTTGGGGGTTTTGTTATTGTTGTTTTTGTTTGTTTGCTTTGAGACAAGGTTCCCTGAACCCTCCAGCTGACCTGGAACTCACTGTGTAAACAGGCTGGCCTCAGTGTCACAGAGATCCACCTGCCTTTGCCTCCTGCCAAATTCCAAGGACTGGAATTAAAGGCTTGTACCACCACACCCAGCTTCTTTGCAGTAAGTTTTCAAGGGGAAAATCTATAAATCATTTCTGCTATGATTTGTTTCTTTGTGGCATGCTAAGACCTTTCCCAACATAACAGGTTTATCTTTACTTTCTTTTGGTTCTTTCGAGATGTTCTTTTTACAATTAACTACTTAGCATATTATGACATAATGTATCTAGCTTTTTGTCCCACTCCCAAATAGGCATTCAAATACACTTTTTTTAAAACTTTTTATTTTATGTGTATAAATATTATGTCTGCATGTGTGTAAGTGTACCCGTGTCGTGCAGTGCCAGCAGAAAACAGAAGAGGCCATCAGATCCCCTGGTGCTGGAGTTATGGACAGTTGTTAGCTGCCAAGTGGTTGCTGGGATTCAAACCTGGGTCTTCTACAAGAGCAGACAATGCTCTTAATCTCTGAGCCATCTCTCCTGGCCCCTGAATACTATTTTTAAAGTACTATGTTATTTTCCTATTGATTCAACGACTATCTATCGTATATGTACTGAATTCTCTTCGATACCTGGCTCTGTTTTTATTGATTTTTTAACCTATCCTGGAACTGTTAAGACTGCTCTAGTTTCAGCAGCTTTACAACTGATGTTAATAACCATTTTCCAAATATTCTTTGCTTTTATTCATATTCATTATTCTGAACAAAGTCTGAAAACTGTTCCAAATAAAGTTTAGAATCATTCTGTCACTTCCCAAGACCTACTGGGGTCTTGGTTTTCAGCAACAAGTTAACATGAAGGTGTTTTGACTTTTGTTTTAAATTTTGCCACCCAGAATCATCCAATATCTCATCTTTTCTTTTTTGAAGATTTAATCTTTTTATTTTTAGTTGTGTGTGTGTGTGTGTGTGTGTGTGTGTGTGTGAGAGAGAGAGAGAGAGAGAGAGAGAGAGAGAGAGAGAGAGAGCATGAAGTTGTTTCAGGTCCCTTGGAGCTGGAGTTACAGGTGGTATGAACCACCAGACATGGGAAACCAGGGTCCTCTGTAAGAGCAGTACATACTTTTTTTTTTTAATCTACCACCATTATTTTATTTTATTTTTCTAGTTAATTATTTATTTAATAACCACATACTTAGAAGAAGCATTTCATTATAACAGCATTGACATATTCAATAACAATTTTCTGAGCCAAGATGCATCTCTTTCAAAATTGGCTGTAATTTTTAGGTTTACAGTTGAATTATTACAGTTATACAATATTGTACTCAGGTAGATTTCAATGGTAATGTTTTTCACATCTACTAATTATTATTATTATTTTTAATCTTTTTTAAGATTTTTAATAACTACATATTAGAAGAAGCATTTCACTACAGAGTTAACATATTCAGTAACACACTCCAGAGCAAGAGTACATCTCTTTCACAAGTGAGTGCAAGTTTCTAGGTC